TACATACTTGGATAAACTTGTCGAGTTTATTCGCGGCCAATCTAAAAGAATACGTGCCGTCAACAAACATTGGTCTTGTTCACTCCTTCTTCCGTGTGATGGACGGCTACATCCAATCCTTTGCCGTGCCCAAACCGCAGCCTGGACAACCCGTAATGAGCCCAGAGCGTGCGGAGATACTTGAAAAATGCATCACCCCATTGTTTTTCATGTCTGTCATATGGAGTCTTGGTGCCACGTGTGACGAGGGAAGTCGGGAGAAATTTAGCGACATGCTGCGCACCGTGGCTCAAGGGAACAATCACGCCGATTCTTTACCCGCCGAAGGCCTGGTCTATGATTACTGCTTTGTTTACTCCGCCGTACCGGAGGATGAGGAGCAACCACGCTGGGTGCACTGGGATGATCTCTGTGATACCTGCGAGATTGGGCGGATGACGAAATTTGAGGACGTTATGGTGCCCACGATCGACAACACGCGCCAAAAATATGTGCTGCAGCACTTGTTAACACAAAAGGTGAATGTGGTAGCTGTTGGCCCGACGGGTACAGGGAAGACGGTTTCTGTGAGTGATCTTGTACTTGGTGGGTTACCCGACCGGTTTCTTGGCCTCACCTTCACTTTCTCTCCACAGACAAAGGCTGGCGTACTGCAGAACTCCCTCATGTCCAAGTTTGACAAGCGTCGCTCACATGTGTTTGGTGCTCCCATTGGTAAACACTTTGTTGTATTCATTGATGACGCGAATTTGCCTCAAAAGGAGCGTTATGGTGCCCAGCCGCCATTGGAGCTGCTGCGTCAATTATTGGGCCATGGGGGTTTCTACAACTTTACAGGTGGAATCCGATGGAATGCCATCATTGACACGTCATTTGTCATGGCGATGGGGCCTCCTGGTGGCAGCCGTACACAAGTGTCAAACCGTCTCATGCGCTACCTTAACTATGTGTCGTTTCCCGAGATGTCAGAGGTGTCAAAGCGCACCATTTTGAACACCATTCTTAAAGGGGGTCTTAGTCAACGTGGTGTGAAGAGTGAGGTCATTGATCTTTCCTCCAAGC